TTTCCCTGGGAGCAGGAACATTGAAAAGTGTAGGAAAATGGGACTCCGAAAAATTGGTAAGAAACAAGTGCCTAAGAATCTGTGTGCCTTGAGTGATGGGCAGACTAGTTTTAAATTCTGGGTCGCAATTATTGCAACCCTCAGGTTTCAATCAGTTTAGCTAATGTTATAAAGCAGCTTGTCCACTATACAGAGAGCAGGGATCCATCCTCATCCTAAAACTGTGCAATGGGAGCTATAGGAATGCACCCTGCTTTTACCTTCTAAGCCCTGGTCACCAAGCACTTGAGGAAAGACTGGTGCTGTTCAGAGTTTGCAAGAACTACCTTTCTGAGCCCTGTTTTACAGGAACACAAGTGCTTCAGCTTTTGGATTAAATGATTTCTGAACTCAAAATGTGGCTGAAAATGCTATGCCTGAATGAAAACCATGTGAATGGCCACCTCTGCTGAAGGGATCTAATTCTTACTGTAATAAAGATTACTAAAGTCTTGATTCATTCCTAGGTGTATTTCTGAAGCGTAGTTTCTGTTGACATTGTAGTTAGCATAACAAAACAAAACTAAACTCACTTACTGTACAGTTCTTAGTGAGGTGCTATTATTACAGGAATTTATTTCTTAGTTGCTTCACAGTTTGCATTTCTGAAGTGAAAATTGCATTCAGCCAAACACTTCTTTCATTCTATTGGTACGTATATGGGGCATGGACAAATCAATAATAATTAATAAAATGGTTATTTGGTTATGAATTCTGTCACTGGAGCTATTGTCTCTTTAACAAGCAATAAACTTCTTCTTTTGGCTGATTAATGGATGCAGATTCCAAGCATCAAAATCACAGGTCACTATACGTGACAGTAATCGGTTATCTTGCTACTTTTGATTACAGTCATCTTACTTTTTCTGTTTAATGGAGATTCTTGTCTTCTCACAACTGTGCCAACCATGCGTGGGTTTGTATCAGTTAACCTTTTCTTCCCTAGATGCTTTTAGCAAAGATACAGAGTCTGATTCTGATCTCAGGTGGATACTCATTGGCAGGAACTGCTTTCTATACAACAGATTGGGAAAAAAACAATCTGTGCACATGAATCGGGTTCAGGGCTCCTATGTAGGCAGAAGAGCAAGAAGCAAGGCAATTAATTTCATTTAAAATGAAGATTTTAGTGTCTTTCAGGATTTGTGTAAGTTACAACCATTGTTTACATGAAGAGAATTAAGTCCTGAGGTATGACTAGAACCTTTCAAGCAAAAGACACGTATAGACATAAGAAAAGTCATCCTTGTAAAGAGCTGTATTGGGCTGTGCAAGTAGTTGGCCCTAAATATTTGGAAATCCAAATAGGATCTGTGTATGTGAAGTGATTACAGAAATTGAGCCCTCAAAAGGTTTTGTTTCTTTGCTTTGGGCACATGCTCCTTAACCTGTCCAGAACTTTGTCTCTTGTTCCTTGTGCAAGGGTTGGAGGACGGAATAACTTCCCTTATTTCAAGCTGAATAAAATGCTTGATAAATTTTTGCTAGAGGTCAGCATTATTTTTGAAAATTACTGTCTCTGAGAAAAAGTTTTCAAATTTGCAGATGTAGATCTGTAGATTGTAGTGTAGAGGTAGAGAATAAGAGGTGGGGAAGATTTATAGTAATCTTGCCTATTCCCTCTGTCGTGTCCCCCCCTCACCCCCCTTCCCCCCCCAAAAAAATTAACAGCTGAAAAACATGTCTTAGGTTATTTAGATTAAAGAAGTCTCATTTGATTTCAGCAGAGTTTTGTGAGATGATTTGACCATAGCTCTACAAGCATCTACACAGAAAGATGCGGAATTTCGTTATTTGGCAAGAGGTTGCTAAGACCTGATGAGTGGAACGTCAAACCTGCCAAATTCGGACTAGAAATCAATTTATATTTTTAACAATGGTAATAAATACTTTGTGGAACAAATTGCAAAAGGAAATTGTGAGTTCTCTAACACCTGAAATCATTATATTAAGGTTGAGTTTCTTTTCTAGCAGATGTGGAGTTAAAAAACCCCTGTATGTAATTGTGACATGCAGAAGGTTCATTGTAAATATGTCAGAATGGTCCCGTCTCATATTAAATGAACCCATGAAACTTGAAAATGCCTAAAAGTTCAAAATGTTTGGTTTGTTGGGGTTTTTTTGTTTGTTTTTTTTTTTCTCCTACTTGTCATTCTGCTACTTGGTCTATGCAGCGCAAATTTTGTGGAGGATTGTCTTATGGTGGCTTCTGGAGTAAGAAGTTTTCAAGTAGTTTTCATATTGTTTTTTGATCAGGAAATGCTCAAGTGCAGCAAGAATTCAGAGGGAACTGCTGAATTGGAAGAAGCTCTGGCCACAGTTCTTGATATCATCAAGTCAGTAAATGACTCCATGCACCAGATAGCAATCACAGGATACGAGGTATTATTTGCTGTTGCTCTTACTCTGGTCTTGACCCATTCAATGTTCCTCTCGTCATGGACTGTGCTGTGCCCTTGGCTGGTACGCTTTGCAGGAGCCTGTGCTACCTTCTTGAAGGATGCCACTCAGTGGCATGTTGCCATGACCAAAAATACACGTCAGCATACCTCTCATGTGGAGGCGGGGGTGTGAATACGGGGAGGAAGTGGGACAAATGCACTCCTGCGTAATCACACCCAAAACTCATTTGTAGGTGAGAGGTAGCAAGTGTGACAGATGTGACCAGAAATTTGCTGAAACTTTGTGGCTGCTATGCAACTCAAGTGTTTGCAAATCCTATGCACTTAGGAAGGACAATTTGGCTTCCATTGAAAGTGGGTAATAGAATCCATGCCAGTGACCAGCAGACTCATTATCTGAAATGCAAAATAACAACCACAGTACAAACCAAAGGCCACAAATGTATATATCTCTCTGCTGAAGCTCCATGGGAGTCATATGACTTTCAAGAACTAGTGTTGCCTATGGAAAATGAGCCCTTAAGTGAGAAGTGGAAGCGATTGACACATAAAGGAGAAACACGTCTGGCAAAATGAGGCCTGAGGGTGATGTGATCGCCCGTTTTTGAAATAGCTGCAGGGAGAAAATGTCAAGAAAAAATGCTGTACTGAGAGCTGTGTTCAAAGAATTATTAGATCAGAATAAGAGTGTTTAGTCTGGACACCAGCAAAAGAATATTTTCTGCAGAATGTGACTTCCCAAGAAAGCGCTGAATTCTATAATGACTGCGTCTGGGTGGGAAGAGTTGGTCTGTGTTTTTCAGGGTGGAGTGGCTTCAGGAGTTTTAATTTCTATAGTTCTCCCTTTTGTGCAGGTCCATCTGCATCTGGTAGCTGAGGAAACCATGCCCTCTGTCAGCATTATTTTATAAATGAATTTAACTGCTTGCTCGGCTGTGTGTCATAGATCCCCTGCTGTATTCAGGTGGAGACGCTCCTGTGGATTGTGCATTACCTTTGAAATGAGAATATGAGTTCTTACCCTGAAGTAGCTCTACTGGGTTGAATGCAAAGCAGTGGCCACCTTGTTATACTAGTAAACACATGGACTAGCTGTAGTGCCTGTGGATCACAGAAACACCACAGGTCCTAAGCATAACTTAGGTCTGCCAAACTTACGTAAAGCATACACTTTACCCCAGCCTTCTGCGCAGCTATGAGCTACACCTACTATGAATTGATCAGGGGCCCTGCACTGTACATCTTTGCACCAAGAATGGAGTTTAGATTAAGAACATAGCATGAAGTTTTCCTGCTTCATTTAGATTAGCAGTATTTTTTTTAATATGATTTCCATCTAATTTTTAGTATTTCCAAGTTTTGTCAAGGTAGGAGAAACGTACTATGTTCAGGTTTGTTGGCTGAACAGGAATAGTTCATTAGCTTTTTAACGTCTCCAACATACAAGGTCAAATCTCGCATCTGATTGTTTCTGCCATTGAAAGTTCTTAAAGAACTCTTTACTAATATCTCTTCTGGTGGAGCAGAAACGCTAGGTATTTTTGAATCTTCACTGAGCAAATCTTAATTTCAGTAACACAAAAGAAAACACAGGTCTTAAAATGAAATATACTTTTATACTTGTGTAATTGGATGTAAAAATGTATTGTCAGCTATACATTTTAATTAAATGTAGAGAGAGAAGCCAACAGTTTAAAGTGACTCACTAGAGATGAGGATTTATCCAAATATATTTAACTGCTATTGGTAAAGCCCTTGAGACTTCTAAAGCTAAATTGTAAAATAATTTTAATTCTGTATGTTTTATTCCTATTTGTATTTCCTGAGAATGAAAACAAAACTGGTTCACTTTAGTGGTCAGTTTTCGTTTTAGTTTTCCTACTCTTGGGAAGCTGGCTTTTTTTCATTTAAAGCCAGTGGCAAAGCTTGTGTTCACTTTTCCATCACAGTAGACAAACTTTCCCTTCTAGTACTTCTGTTTTATGAAAAGCTTTTCCTGGAGCATTATGTTCATAACTCAAGACACATCTCTGCTGCTTTTGGGTTTCTCCAGGCTTTCTTTTATGGACTTTCTAGGGATAAGTGTCTTTGTCCTGGTGCCACTGTTCTCAGCACCCAGGGTGCTTTTGCTTGACTTGGCTTTGTGAATCGCTGATTGCAGTGACAGCCTGCTGGCTCCTCCTGGGGTCTCCAGCAACTTCTGCACAAACTGGTAACTTGCACATTTGTCATGTTTTAACCTGGCAGCCGGCAACTAAGCACCAGGCAGCTGCTCGGTTACCCTTCCCCTGCCCGCCCCCCCCCACCAGGATGACAAGGAGAAATGGGCAAAAGATAAAACTTGTGCATTGAGATAAAGACAGTTTAATAAGATGACAAAGGAAATACTAATACTAACCATAGTAATAATAATAATAATGAATATGCAAAACAAACTATACACAATACAATTTTATTACTGCCTGATGACCAATTCGCAGCCAGTCCCTGAGCAGCGATTGTGGAACCCGTGGGTTTCCCGGAGCTCATGAATTTTGCAAATTTTGTGGAACTCCTCCAAAAACCTGAACTCATGGAAAAAAGTTTGAACTCCTGGACAAGAGAGGATCCAAACTCCCAGAAAAGAGTATTGAAAAAAAAGGATTCCTGCCCACCAGCCAACACCCATTTATAAACTGAGCACAATATCTATGGTACAGAATATTTCCACTGGCCAGCTTGGGCTGCCTGGCTGTGCTCCTTCCCAGCTCCTGCGCACCTGCTCATCAGCTGAACATGAGAAACTGAAGAAAGTCCTTGATTTCTTAGCAACAACTGAAAACATCAGTGTTATCAACATTCTTCTGGTATGAAGTCCAAAACACAGCGGCTACTGGGAACAAAATTAATTCTGTTCCAGCTGAAACCAGGACAACATTGCTGAACAAGTAACCTTGTTCAACAGTTTCTCTTTTGAAGCAATCAAGTCTTCATTTGTATTTGTAGGAAAGGTAGGACTGTTTCTGTCTGTTTTTTTTGGAATTGAGCCCATTTGTTTTCTGTAGTCAGTCTTTTACAGCCTTCTACATGTCAGGAGAAAGAGCTTGTGAAAGCTTCTCTAAACCGTTCTGGGTATGGCTATGAGATGTCTCAGAGATTAATTTTGGAAAGCCTCTTTAAAGCCTGCATATTATCGTTGCAGACTTTACTCATGTTGACTGATCCTGGGAAGCTCACGGTTACAGCACGTCTTTTCCCCACTTTCCACTCTTTCTGACTAATCCCCAAAGAGAAAGGCAGCTTTCCTCATGTTTTTCCCAGTTTAAGTGTATGTAGTTACAGCAACTTTACAAAAATTTAATTTTAAACAGTTCTGTAAGCAATGGGCAGAGGAGCTTCTCCAAGAAAGGTAACCTATTACCCTGGGCAGAAGGGATCTATCCAGATGCCTGTCCATTAAAGAGGTCACCCTTTTGCCTATTCCTTCCTTTCTAGTCACAATGCAGTTTTGTAGTCAGGAATTCAACGGAGTGTTCTGGTTCCTTTTCAGCTTCTACTTTTGAATTTGCCAGCCTTCCATGAAATGCCAGGTAGTAGCTCCAAGGACTAGATTTTTGCCTCGGCTTTGTTAGCTGAACTGAAAGGCAGGACAATGTGGAACACAGCTGCTGTGTAGCCTAATGCTGACAGCATTCCTGACATGGTTTGCTACGTTATTATTAAGTGGAATGAAAGTGTGAAAAAGGATGAACCCAACACTTTCTTCTCCCTGTTCCACCTATCCCAGCTGCTCAGCTGTGATGCCAAATAAACACCTCCCGTAGCTCATGAAACCACACCCCACCTTGTGGAGTTTTTCCCACACAGAGGTGATAGAAATACTTGAACAGAACACCTCTCAGAGAAGATACTATGTCAGCAGAAAAGCAGGTTTTGTGGCAGCTGATGAACGCTCCTAATTGCACAGGATGTTCTGCTTTGTGGACCTGTGCACATGCAGGCTTCAGAAGCTGAACTCTTGTGAGAGAAATTGCCAACATGTGAGTTTGGCATTGGTTTTGTTTTGTGTGTGGGGTTTTTTTTTTTGATTTTTTTTTTTTTTTTTTTTATTCTTACTATCATCACAACATTTGTATAAAATCTGGCCTGGGTAGTTTGTCTGTGAGTTATGCAGCACTTAAGCCATTCACATGTGTATCTCATGTTTCATGAACATGAGATACAGTGTGTTGTTCTAACGGGGGATAATTATATTTGAGATAGTGAGCGAATCCTCCAGTTTAAATAAACATCCTTTAGGACAAAATCTTGCTGTCCACTAGAACAGTTTACCGGAAACAGTGTCATCCTCTCTATTTGTTGCTCACTCTGAAGAGAGAGTCCAGGGCCCTAATATTCAAAGTCTGTTGTGGGATTGCTGCAGACTGCCAACCCTGTCCATGCTCTTGCTCTCTGCAGCAGTGGCCTCCCACTTCACTTGTTGTAATCCTGATCCTAGATCCAAGATTGAAGAGATGATCCTATCACAAGAGTTGAACTGAAGTTCTGGATCTCAGTGCCATATCGAACAGTGCCTGGAGTGACCCGAGCCTCTCGCCATCATCAGAACTATGTGGAAAAGATGTTTGGGGTTTTTATTTAACTTTACATGTCATCAATATGCTTTTATTACGTATTGGAGATGAGAGAATGTTATAGAAATTACTGAGGGTTTTTGAATGCTTTGGAGAATCTAATAATACCCTGATACGGAGTGGAAAAGTACCTAATCAAACTCTGGTTTTGCAGTTGTGTCTAGGGTAGGGGACGGGGAGTGAGAGGGAGAACAGGTTGCAATCTGTAGTTTAAGAAATCAGACATTCCCACTTGGAGCCAGCGTCCTCAGCTTATAATCAACAGAACATACAGATGTTGAAAATAAGTACTTTACTAATGCACTGAGCTTATTCTCTCAATTTATTATACAAAGCACTCCTAGAAAAACTTGTTGCTAGGATAATTATGATTATCATTATTTGTTGAAGACAATTACAATATAGATGTTGCCATGTCCTCTATTCACACATTGCTACACTCTTTAGTACTGAACTGTGCTGTAAATGTTTGTGCTGGTGGCATCTGAGACAAATATTTATATCAGTTGAAGTATTTACCCATCAGTAGTCCTCAGACAAGGGTGTTAACTTAGAAAGGTCTGGTTCCTGCTTGGTTTCACTTTCCTTTGGGTACTTCTATGGCTCTTTGGTGCGTTTACTCCCTCTTTGCCCAAGGCTGCGCAGCATTGCATAGTTTGCAGATGGTGAGTCAAGAAACTACTGACAAAGCTTTTAAAGACTATTTTGCTATTGGCGAGAATTACACACCTATGTACCTCTAGGCACCAATTTGTGTCTTCAGACATCCAAGTATCTTTCAAGGTGTTGCCCAGGGATCGAAGAAGCTCGTAGCAGAGCAGAAACTGAGCCTAAGTATTTCAGAACCAAGGCCTTTGCTTGGATATCCGAGTTACACTGGGCCTTTGTACTGCCTTGGAGTCAGGAGTCTTGAAACCCCATTCTTGTCAAAAGATGCTTCCTCTGAGGTCATCAGAGGGGACAGCGTGTGTGTCAGATTGAAAGAGGTCCTAAGGGAGACCTTAGACACTAACTATGAATGGGGAGACAAACTGAGAATTATGGACATGGAAAACAAAAAGTTATTGGTTATATGAAGAAACCACACACGTTTAGCAAGGAGACATGTGCAAGTGGGATTCCAGCTTTAACACGTCTGCTCTCCAACACAAGGGATGCCTAGGCACATGCCTCTGCCTGGAAGCTTAAACACCACTAGGGGAAAGAACTGTGCCTGGGATTACCCTTGTTTGAACGTGATGTAGCCTCTCTCTTTTCCTTTCTTGCCAGGGGGATGTAAATGAGCTTGGAAAGCTGTTGATGCAAGGTTCCTTCAATGTGTGGACTGACCACAAGAAGGGGCACAACAAGGTGAAGGACTTGGCTAGATTCAAACCGATGCAGAGACACCTCTTCCTCTATACAAAGATGCTACTTTTCTGCAAGAAACGGGAGGAGAACACAGATGGCCATGAGAAGACAGCTTCCTACAGCTTTAAAAATTCATTAAAGGTAATAAATGTGGTAACGGTGAGGGAGAGACATAAATCTGGTGTTCTCACAACATGGGGATGTTTCCATGTGGAGACCTGAAGCAGGTACCCATGTCTGGAGCTGTCTTACACCCCTGAGTAAATGAAAGCTCCCGTTTAGTTTTGATCTGGAGGCAGACCCAGCCATATGTCCTGCAACTCCAGCTGTGAACCTTGGTTTTGCAACTTAATACAAATGGGCACCTTGTGTGTTCTTGCCCAGCGTCCCATAAAGAGAAGCAAGACTGAATGGACTGCATCTCTCATTGTTGTGCCTATAAGCATCCTCTAAGTTCAGTTCTATTGCGAGCTTTACTATTGATATTATTTGAGCAGATACATTCTGTGACAATGTGACAAAATGTGAACCTCATGAAGTTCAACAAGGTCAAGTGCAAGGTCCTGCACATGAGGCGGGGCAATCTCAAGCACAGATAAAGGCTGGATGGAGAATGGATTGAGAGCAGCCTTGAGGAGAAGGGCTTGGGGGTGCTGGTTGATGAGAAGCTCAGCATGATCTGGCAAAGTGTGCTCGTAGTCCAGTAGGCCAACTGTATCCTGGGCCGCATCAAAAGAAGCGTGGCCAGCAGGTCAACGGAGGGGATTCTGCCCCTCTGCTTCGCTCTGGTGAGACCTCACCAGGAGTCCTGCACCCAGCTCTGGAGCCCTCAGCATAGGACAGACATGGACCTGTTGGAGTAGGTCCAGAGGAGGGCAGAAAAATGATCCGAGGGCTGGAACACCTCTGCTGTGAGGAAAGGCTGAGAGAGTTGGGACTGTTCAACCAGGAGAAGAGAAGGCTGCAGGGAGACCTTATAGCAGCCTTCCAGTACCTGAAGGGGCCTACAAGAAAGGTGGAGAGGGACTTTTTACAAGGGCATGTAGTGACAGGACAAGGGGTATGACTTGAAATTAAAATAGGGTAGATTAGATATAAGAAAGAAATTCTTTACTCTGAGGGTGGTGTGCCCCCTCCATGGAAGTTTTCAAGGCCAGGTTGGATGGGGCTTGGAGCAACCTGATGTAGTCAAGGTGTCCATACCCATGGCAGGGGGGTTGGAATGAGATGATCTATAAGGTCCCTTCCAACCCAAAACATTCTATGATGATATGAAATCTAGAATTATTTTCTTCTGTTTCTCGTTTGTCTTGCCCAGTTAGGCACTTAGCTCCTTGCTCACCTCTTTTTTTCACTTTTCCTGAAACTATATTAGTTTTTTTGTGTTGTCTGGATTTGAAAATGAGTTGTTAAATCTTACAAAGCCATGATCCCTCCCTCTTCAGAGGTGGCAAGTTGAAAATACCATCTTCCTCAAACTGAAAATTTCTGTAGGTGGACAAGAGCCAGTATAGGGTTGAAAACTGACCCACGGTTCAAACAAAAAAAAGCAAAGAGGATAAACTCATGATCAGACATTATCTTGTCTTATTTTTGAGCACTTATTTTTTTTTCCTACAACAGTCAAAAAGATGAATGATGAGCTAGATGCTGAAAAATAATATCTTCTGAATTTTACTTTTAATGACTCCTCAAGGTGCAGAAGTGAACGCAGCCCTTTAAAAATGCTTCTCAGAGGATAAAGAGTGTAAAGACTATTGACATTTTCCAGATTCCAGCTGCTTCTTTTCTGTTTTGAAACAGATGAGCACTGTGGGCATTACAGAAAACATAAAAGGGGATAACAAGAAGTTTGAGATCTGGTATAATGGCAGAGAAGAGGTCTATATTATTCAGGTAACAACGATCCTTTGTTTTTCCAAGGACTATACTTCCTTTCAATTTAATTACTTTTAAGAATGTTTTCAGTTTCATGACTTTCACTGCCTTGTACCCTCAAGAAACAATAGCTATGGGAAGCTTCACTGTTGTGTTGGCACTGAAATTGCCGGTTTAGCATTGTGAAAATGGTCATGATTTTGGGTATAAGAGGAAATAAAGTAGTGGAAAATTACTTGGAATGCTGGACAGGAAAGCAAGGACAGAACCTTAGATTCACGGTAACTTTTCCGTCTTGAAGAATGTCCTCTACTTTGGTCAAAGCTGGTCACAGTGTTCCATTTCTTGGGAAAATTGAGAGCAGGTCAGGGCAGCCAAGTGACTGGCACCAGGCTTTAACTAGATTTGCTTTGCGTTTTCCTCTTGTGTTCTCAGGCATCTTCTGTTGAGCTGAAAAACACCTGGATTTCAGAGATTCGCAAAGTCCTGACAGGACAACTGGAAGCATGTAGAGGTAGGATACACAGAGCGAGATCTGGTAATGTTGCCTTCCTTCTGTAGCTGTGTGTGACAACATGGAGTTGGGATGAGTTACAGTGCCTTCCAGTACCACCAGTGAAATCGACAAGAACAGGTCTTCTATAGGAGGATGAGTTGGGTGGTTGAAGCATTGCTGGGATTTAAACCCTTGTCCTGATCAAAGAAAATTTCTTTGAACTTTAGAAATGGCCTGAATAATTATTCCATTCACAGTTAGTCCAAGAAACATGATTTTCCTCTGTTCTCCCTCTCAATCTGCAACCCTAGATGCATTTCCATCAACATGTGAGGCGATGGGGTCCCAGTCTTCACTCTGTGCCTTCTCATAAGACCTAACACAAAAGGTCTCCTTCCACACATGACTGGACACAACAACTGTTCCTCTCCATCCTGTTGTTTATTTTGCTTTGTTGGTTTGAGGGGTTTTATTTAAATCTAGTTGCCCACTGTATCTTTTAAATATCAGTCAGTTATCCCATCTTTTTATCTCAGTGACCTCCCTCTAAAACATGGTTAATGACATTTCCTTCTCTCACAGATATGTCACTATGAAGGTGATTTGTGACGGGCTCAACACATGAATGACTGAAGCCTCATAAGTACCTAAAATAATGACACTCCTTTTTCATGTAAGATACTGAACCCGAGACAGACAAAATTAAGTTAGGTTATTCCAGATAGTAATAGAACATATTGATGAAAGCCATCTGAGATACTATTCTGTTTATGAACAAGAATGTACAGAGTCCTAAAAGCCATTTTTCAGGCTCTCTTAGGACAAAAAGAACATAGCTGTGTCCAATACAGATTTTTCCTGGGCCCTGGCATTGCTGCTCACCTTGACCTGTCATGTTCTGCTTCTTTCAATAAACATCTCTCTTTAAAGAAATGCCAGCAAACCCTCTCCACCCACATCCTTCAGATTCCAAAGCAGAATTTGTCCTAGGTGGAAACCTGTGCCTGTGCTTTAACTTTAGAGGTCACCTTTATTTTGTCTGTTTCACAAAGGCAATGAGTTCTTACAACCTCCTTAAGTGGACGGAAACAGCTATGCACATTGGCCTCAGCAATTTCATCCGACCCGTAACAATATATTTATTTACAATGCTTACTACTCGGGTCTTTTGTTACTGTTCTTGTCTTCATCCTTTCTCCTTTTTATTCTGAATTTCACTGTGGTCAGTTCAGCGGGAACTGCTGAGGAAAGAACTCAAGTTCCTTATCAGTGCAGCTTCAGGACTTGATCTAGGGACTCTCCGATGTGATTTGTAATATTTACTTCTGAAGTGTAAAAGCTGGCTTTACTTCAGCTACGACAGAAGAGAAGAATAGCTTATGGAGAAAATGTATGTACTTAATAAGGTAGAGTGCTAATCCTCCATGTATGTTTCTAGGGCAAAGAAAATGAAGCTTGTATGTCACCCAGATGAGCGTTTGTGAAATCTTTGTGGCATACAGGACCTATATGCTGGAGTTACCATGCATTTTCCAGAGAAAACTATGCAGGAATCAAGACTGAAAGTTTTTGAAAACATTTATATTTTGATATTCATTCTTGTTTGGTTTTAAGATTATAGAATCCTAGAATATTTCAGGTTGGAAGGGACAGGTTACTTATGATTTTATCCAGTTTGGTCTTGAGAATATCCACGGATGACTTTCAGCCCACTCTATGAGCAAAGTCAAGCTTTTCTTCTTTGTCAGTTCAGCAGAGCAGCAGTCAGAGGGCAGAAATTGTATCTTTTATGCTATTGCAACTCTTCTGAATGCCTTTTCCGAAATGATCACAGGAACCAAAGCCCTTATTACAATACTGATAGCAGGAAGCAAATGCTTTGTCCTGTGTTTTTAAACAGTTGTTTCTATTTCCAGTGACTCATGAAAGAAGAGGCCTTAATTCGTGCTTAATCTGAGACTGGATATTTTTCCAGCTGTGAGTTGTAATGAGAGAAGGAAAAGGGATGCATTTATTTGTCTGGGATATGTTTAATGACTGTTGTTAGGAGTTGCACAGGGTGTTGGAATGTTGGAAGGAACCAGCTGAGATGAATGAGCAAGTAATGGGCAAAGAAGGTGGCCAGAGGTATGTGGTAAATACTTTAACATATGGGTCATTAGTGTCCAGACACTTAGTGTCTATACACCTGCTATGGCAGAGTGCAGTGAGCCTGGAATGCTAACGGGGCTTTGGGTAACACCTTGATCCGTGGATCCCAAAGAGCATGATTGTTGCTTGCAGGCGAAGGACTTAAGGACACAGCTTAAGGGATTTGTGCAAGGCTGTGAATCAGTTGCCAAAAACAGGAATGGAGCTACTTCCAACTCCCCACCCAGAGTGCTTCTCTCTCCCAGCATTCCCACCCACAAAAGACTGTTGAATTTAATCTTTTGGTGCTGTTTCTGTCGCTTTGTCTATTCTCCTTTCATTTTCCGGAGCTTCATCTTCTTCCAGAGTGAAGTAGCTTTAGGATCTCAGCAATGTGAGAGTTTGAAAGCAGGTCCTTCCATTGCTTCCTCACTTCTCAGTGTCTGACTCTCCTGGCCCTGAATACCAGGTTGTCAGCATCTTTCTTATCGTCTTTCTCCATTCACAGTTACTGGACATAGGTACAAATGAGTCTGTTGCTACCCTGCAGCTGTGCGAAAAAAGTGAACAAGTTGCATCTGAATAACATTATTGAGCAAAGCATCCTTCAGAGGGATGAGGATACATTCTACTAGGTGGCTGCATGTGCAAAAGGACTGAAGTACGTCTTGCTAAATCCAGAAAAAGCTGTGAGCCACAAACTTCTATTCTGGGAAAAATGCAATTATGTCCATTCTCTAGATCCATATTGTGCAGTGAACTAGGAAGAGGTACAGAGAAAAGAGAAGGTCATAGGGGAAGAAATTTCTTCTGTGCTGAAAAAAATATGGGTAGAAGAGCTGTTTGGGTGAGCTAAGTTTTCAGCCTTTAAGATCATTGTATGCCTTTCTCTTCAAGTACGAGTACTCCATCCTGATTGCAGCAGCAGTCAAAATCTGTCCTCTCCTCTCCTATTTCTCTCTCGCTTTCCTACTTTCTATGCAAACAAGGAAGCAACTTATCCAATTTGGAGCAATTTCTTTTTACTTTTACTTTAACAGAAGCAAGTCAACTGCACCAAAGAATCACCGAGAGCGTATACCATGCACCAATGGATTCCTCCAACGCGAGCAGGTAACCACAGCTATCACAGCATAGCAGGGCCATGTTTTGTCTTTCCTTTGTGTTTTTGCAGTACATAAATTCTCAGTTTTCTGTGTTTAGCTTTCTGGGTATGAACTTACTCAATTGTTTGCAAATTCTTTAAAGACATGTAAAGGCAGATAAAGGTTTTGCTCATGGGGAAACTAAAATCACAATGCAGAATTCACTTCAAAGATGATCATTTGGTTTTGCAAAAGAACCATATGCTCCAGATTAACTCAAGTTTAGACAAAATGTATTGGAACATTTCCAGGATGTTAAATGGAGCTGTCAGCAAATTTTTGTAATGACCCAATTGTTGGGCAGGTTTAATGTAAGTTGGCATGGGCTATCACTGTAATATTTTAGCAGGACCAACTGAATCAAGAGATCCCAGATAACACAGCCAGCCTTTGAGAGTTGTAGAACTCGGTGCAAGAAATTTTAAACAGATACAGTGCTGTTAATCCTGCACTATATTTTCTCTAGACTTCATTACCTTTGCTTTGTTTAAGATTTAAGCTGAAAAGGTTTAAGGGTGAAAATCTTTCAGCAAAACCACCTTGGCAATAGGAGAAAATTATTCCAGTAAAATGTGAAATGCAATCACAAAGATGTTTCAAATCATTCCAGATGTATGTGACTTTTACAAGGCTCTTAAAGAGCGAATTTTCAAAGCAGAAATTATAGACAAAATATGCCAACAGAAAATTATTTAACTCCAGGAAGAAAGGCCTTGTGATTAGCTATTTGTCCTAGAGTGGAATAAAACAAAGGAAAAACGAAGTGTTTGTGGTCTTCACTCTGCCAGCTAGGCCAGTGTAGGAGATATTAGATGCTTCTGCTCTACATGCTGGGCTATTATAGGGACAGGAAGAGTAAAGTCTTCATGGAAGAACAACGCTCTGAGCTTTCATGAATGGAACAAAGTTCAAAGGGTCCTATTGGCTGCTGTAAGCAGAGGCCACCTTGATCCTCTGTAATACGTGTCTCAGAGAGAAGCAAGTACAGGGGAATTGCAGCACGAGGTGCGCTAGCTGATGTGAAATAGTGGCTCGAGGATTCCTCAGACTGTGGAGCCCCTTCTGCAACCTGTTTTGAGATGCTGGGTGGAGGCGAGAAGAGGAAGGAAGAAACTAGACTTTGTGATAGCCACCCACATGGGCATAGCCTGTGTTTATGACCGACATGACTAAGCAGCCTGAATTGTGAAAGGTGCTGTGAGTAAGCCAGTGATAGACAGTATTAGCTGAAGAGCAACCAGCATCATCAGCGCTCTGCCAGTGGCTGGAGGCTAATTAATTACTGAGATTTTATCTAACCAATAGACCCCTTCTATGGGCTGCCCACGTGTAACAGTGACTCTAACGGTTATTGGGAATTGTCAAACCTGTAATGTGACACTGGGGAAATCTGTTTGCAGGACGCTCTCCCCACCCTGAGCCATATCTGTTCCATGACAAATACTATGCCGTTTACTTGTTTATATGCCACCCCAGCACTTGGGGCTCGAATTCCATGAGATAAGGCAGGGCTGGCCTGACTCAGTGTTGGATCTAAAGCATCAGCAAAAGGGGCACTTAGAGCCAGCGCCCTTAATACAGGTGATTATTGAATGTCACAAAGTCCTTTCTCAATCTATTTAAATTCTCTCTCTGTAAATTCTTCCCCAAAGTTTCACTGTTTAATTCTGAAATGAGATGCCTTATGGTGTCTATTGCTGCTGTATCTCTGTCAAGGGATGGCTGCTGCATTTCAGTGATAATGAAATGATCCCTTTGTATTGTTTTCTAAACTGTTTAAACATGTGAAACTTAAATAGTTGCGGTTAGAACAATAGTCTATCTGCTTTATTGGGTATGACTAATTCAGTCATACATCCATGTAAAAATATTCTGTGCACATAGATATACACAAACTCTTGGAGTTTTACTGCAGATGCTGTTTCAGAGAAGCTCGTGTGGTTTTTTGGTGTCTTTTCTCGCAGCTGTAAATGTATAACTCTGTCAGCTGCATGTTTCACAGTTATCTCAGCCTAGCTGGGAAGGAACAGAGAAAAAAGAATAAGGAAACGTGAGTGTGCTTTGGATTTGTTCCTTTATTTATTTTGAACCCCATTTTGTACCTGACGTCAGGCTGCAAAGTCACACTTTGATTTAGTACAGGAGGTAACAGAGACCTCTGTTAAGGTTCTGTCAGAAACAGATCAGAGGTTCAAATATAAAGCAATGAGTCCCAAGCTGCCTTGTCGTTATAAAAAGTATTCATAGATCTCTAGTATTCCAAACATTCTCAAGTTTTTAATGATATCTTGGACCTTCCCTTACAGCAAGACAAACCCTGTGAATGTTAAGTGTAACAGTTGATGTGTTAATTGTAAACAGCAATGTAATTGCCAATACATGTTAATAATGAGCATTTTGGGAACGAGTATTTCAAGTGCGTAGATACAATGAAATGTGTGGAGCGGTCTGCCAAAGATAACAGTCAAACACCACAACTAAACCACCAGACGTCTGCAAAACAATGAGGATAAGAACCATGAGAAAACCTTGCAGCTCGAATGCCCTACAAAGCTGGGGCAGGGATGTCGTTCCTGTTAGAGGACAAGGCTGGTACCTGTGCAAATCTGGCAAGATGGATCCCCTCGTCTGCAGTTCAGCTGTAGACAGGGACATCCCACTTGGATTCTTGTTTTCAAAGAGCAGAAGAAACAGAAGTTGGGGGATTCTGGGGCCAGTGGAATCCATGTATTCCTCTACGCCTGGTATGACCTCTTTGTGACCACCCAGTACCCATTTCTCTCCTGGAGTCAAACATACTTATGCTGCAAAGGATGGCAAACTGGTGTCCTCTTTTCTAACCTGGTTTCCCACGTGTTCCTTGGGAATCAGTTGGACTTGCAAAAAGAGGCTGTGCACGCAACCAGCTTGTTCCTCCCCTATTCCCTTCTTAGCTCTCGCTAAGCACATCGCTTACTGTGTGGTGTGCAAAGGAGGCAGGGGCCGCAATGGCTTTCTCCACATATGTGCCTGCACAGATGGAGATTTTTATAGCACACAGAATTTTAGAACCTGCCCTTTATTCCTTAGGCTTCCATATCTGAGGATAAAAAGGAATGATTAGTGCTCAGTGGTCTGTTAGGTATTAAGCAGTGATGTAACTATTTTTGTATTTCTTTTGTTCAAAGGTATAGCAGGAAGTCATCAAGCGTGTATGAAAACAAATCTGAGATACCGAACGTGGAAGCATCTAACAATAAAAACAGGAATTCCAGTCCCAGCACCAGGCAAAAGAGAGGTAGGAGTGCTAAGTCAGTTTTTTGCTTTCAAAGGGTGTATTTTTGCACACTCATTTGTGGAGTTTGATGTGGATACTTTAAATGTATGTTGTTTAAACCAACATCAAAACCCAATGCTACAAAGCTGAGTCACTGTACCATGAAGCTTCCTGAACACCAAAAAGTGTTACCAGTTTAGGATTTTTTAAGTCTGAGTTTTGATGCATTACAGTGATCTTTATACGACTTCAGTGTTTTAAAAGTAGAATTTGGGGGGCGATACTATGCGTATTTTAACCTTCTATATCCTAGTTAAGTTCGTTTCTAGCCTTATTTAAGATTATCTGTGGACTTTGCTAACTAATTTCCTTGCTTTATGTCAAAGAGATTTTTTGCCTCTTCTGTGTGTAGGTTCCCCTCTAGTGTATAGTAAATTAATGCACATGAGGTCAGAGAAAGTCCCTCCATTATTTGAGGGTGTAAATACAACAGATGTATTCTACACAATATAGGTTAAAATGAACACTAAAAAGAAACTGGATCTCATCTGGGAGTAGCAAGAACAGAGAATCGGTAGCAGTTTCTTTTTTAGGTAGTATTTTGAAATGTTAGAGCAAAGACTTTGCTAATAATATAAAAAAGAAAATGGCAAGGTCTTAAGAGATTAATATCCAAATTAGGCTTAAAGTAAAAGCAGGCACATGTACAAGTAGAGATGGTGGAAAAAAAATATGGAATATTTTTTCTTTGAAAAATAGGCTATTCACCAAAAGATTTTTCATTGCAAAAAGCTTTCATTCTGGGGAGAAAGTTACGGATTCTTCTTTAAAAAATCCAATGTTTAAAACCTTTTTTTTGGTAAAAATTTCTTTTTTAAAAATATGAACTTTTAAAAATTAAAGTTGAAAAGCAGTCTTTCCTTTGAAATTCATAAAACCCCTTTTTAAAAAAATTTGAGGAAAATTACTGACGTTTTCTAACTGGTCCAGCTTACACCAGAGTGTGGGAACTGGGATCACCCTGTATGCTGGTTTTTACTTTTGTGTCTCCTGCTGTCCTTGGCTGGTTCCCAGGGCTCTGTGGTGACACCCGGCTGCTCAGCTGAGAACCCCCCACCCCAGGGGGCTCTCTGCATCCCACCACAACGTCAGCTTGTGTCCCGGGCAGGCACTTCCAGCTGGGACCCTGCAGGGGCTGAACTCGGCTTAAAGATGTGCAGTTAGGTCCTGCTTTCCAAGGCATGGAGGAATCTGCTGCGGACCCCCCATGGCTGTGCTGGCCTGCGGCCCTGCAATGCTCCCCATAGCGATGTAGTTTATGTGAACACAGATTATTTTAAAATCTAGTTTTCTTTCTGTAGTACAGAGGGGGAGGGCACTATTGGCTCTTTCAGTTTCACTGTGCTTATGGGTAAGTGCCTGTGACTGTGATCTACACACAAACCAGTGCTTCACTGATAGATTCACTGACTTGAAGCTATGTGGGAGCCCGAGCCCTGCAGGAACCTCTGGAGCCCACCAAGTCTAACTGCCCTGCTCAAGGCAGGGGCAGCTGGAGCAGGTTGCTCAGGGCTGTGTCCAGTTGGGTTCTGAATAGCTCTAAGGATGGCGACTCCACAACTGCCTTGGGGACACTGTCCCAGGCTTTAACCACCTGCACAGTAAAAAAGGTTTTTTCATATTTTTAAATGGAATTTCCCATATTTCAGTCTGTGCTCATTGCCTCTCTCATCCTGTCACTGGGCTCCACTGAGAAGCGTCTAGCTCCATCTTCTTTACTTGATAAGATCCCCCCAAGCTTTTCTTCTCCGGGCTGAACAATCCCAGCTCTCTCACTCTCTCCTCATGTCAGCTATTGCACTCCCTTAATCACCTTCATGGCCTTTTGCTGACTTCACTCAAGAATGTCTGCGTCGCCTGTACTGGGGAGCCAAGGACAGGGCACAGCACTCCAGGCATGTCTTGCTTGTGCTGAGTAGAGGAGAAGCATCACCTCCCTGGACCTGCTGGAAAAGCTCTGTCTAGTGCAGCCCAGGATGCTGTTGGCCACCTTTTCCACAAGTATGCATTGCAGGCTCATTTTCAACCTGTTGTCCATCAGGACCTAGGCCTTGTTATGTTCAGAAATGGTTTCCAGGATTATTTGTACCATGAAATGAGAGAGTTCTCGGTTCGAGGTGAAGTTAAGAGGGGGGCCAGAAAAACCACCACCATGGACTTTCAGAGGGCAGACTTTGGCCTGTTCAGGACGCTGGCTGAGAGGGTCTCTTGGGAGAGAGTGCTGAAGGGCAAAGGGGTCCAGGCAGGCTGGACGTGCTTCAAGGAGGTAGTCCTAAAGGCACAGGAGCAGGCTTTACCCATGTGCTGCAAGATGAACTGGCAGGGAAGACGACTGGCCTGGCTGAACAGGGAGCTCTTGCTGGGACTCAGAAAAAAAAAAAAGATGATCTAACACCTATGGAAGAAAGGGCAGGCAACTCAAGAGGAGTACAGGAGTCTTGTTATGTCATGCAGAGAGGAAATTAGAAAGGCAAAAGCCCAGCTAGAACTCAGGCTGGCCACTCTTGTAAGGGACAACAAAGAGTGTTTTTACAAATACATCAACAACAAAAAGAGGGCCAAGGAGAGTCTTCATCCCTTACTGGATGCGAGGGGGAACATTGCCAAGAGGATGAGGAAAAGGCTGAGGTACTTCATGCCTTCTTTGCCTCAGTCTTTAATAGTCAGACTGGTTATTCCCAGGGTAGTCAGCCCCCAGTGCTGGAAGACAGGGAATGAGAGTGGAACAAACCTCCCATAATCCAGGAGGAAGCAGTTAACAACCTGCTGTGCCACCTGGATGCTTACAAGTCTATGGGGTCAGATGGGATCCACCCAAGAGTGCTGAGGGAACTGGTAGGAGGATTTGGCCAAGCCACTCTACATCAGCTATTAGTAGTCCTCGCTAACAGAGGAGGGAGTGCTGAGGGAACTGGCAGAGGAGCTGGCCAAGCCACTCTCCATCATCTATCAGCAGTCCTGGCTAACAGGGGAGGTCCCAGATGACTGGCGGATTGCCAATGTAACACCCATCTACAAGAAAGGCTGGAAGGAGTATCCTGGGAACTACAGGCCTGTTAGCCTAACCTCAGTGTCGGGGAAGGGTATGGAGCGATTCATCCTGAGTGCTCTCACCGGACATGTGAAGGACAACCAAGGAAACGGGCCCAGCCAGCATGGGTTCATGAAAGGCAGGTCCAGCTTGACCAACCTCATCTCCTTCTATGACTAGGTGATCTGCTTAGTGGACGAAGGAAAGGCTGTGGATATCATCTACCTGGAATTTAGTAAGGCTTTTGATACTGTTCCCCACAGCATCCTCCTGGAGAAATCAGCTGCCCATGGTTTGGATGGGTGTACTGTTCACTGGATAAAGAACTGGCTCAATGGCCGAGTGCAGAGAGTGGTGGTGAATGGAGTTAAATCCAGCTGGTGGCCGGTCACGAGTGGTGTTCCCCAGGGCTCAGTTTTGGGCCCGGTCTTGTTTAACATCTTTGTCAATGATCTAGATGAGGGGATGAGTGCTCCCTCAGTAAGTTTGCAGATGACACCAAGCTGGGCGGGAGTGTCGATCTGCTCGAGGGTAGGAAAGCTCTGCAGAGGGATCTGGACAGCCTGGATTGATGGGCCGAGGCCAGTCGTATGAAGTTCAACAAGGCTAAGTGCTGGGTCCTGCACTTGGGTCACAACAATCTCATGCAATGCTACAGGCTTGGGGAGGAGTGGCTGGAAAGCTGCCCAGCGGAAAAAGACTTTGGACTTGGTCAACAGCCAGCTGAACACGAGCCAGCAGTGTGGCCAAGAAGACCAACAGCACCCTGGCTTGTATCAGGAGTAGTGTGGCCAGCAGGAGTAGGGAAGTGATCATCCCCCTGTACTTGGCCGTGGTAAGGCCGCACCTGGAGTTCAGTTTCGGGCCCCTCACTACAATAAATACATTGAGGTGCTGGAGTGTGTCCAGAGAAGTGCAATGAGGCTGGGGGGG